TACATATTCCAGCTCAAAGACTAGAATCAACATTGACACAGTAGCCAATTACAAAACAAAAGGCAAGTAGTTATGAATTTTTCCAAACATTGCAACTAAAATCATAAAATTTCAAAACTTAAACTTGATGGAATATGACAAACCTAGCATGCAAATTTGCACATGGATATTTTCAAGAAAACACCAATGAAATACCACGAGTTAACATCTCATTGAAATTTTGAACAGCCCCATGTCCAAATAGAGAAACCCATAGATTGTTTCGAGATGAATCAGTCACATACTTCAAAAACACTTTACACTTCATCTTACCCACTGAACCTTCCCATAACATCACCTAGAAGAAATTTAACACCATTTTTCTTGATTTCTTCTACTAAATCTTTGACACTGCGACTTCACCCAAGTAGCCTAAAACCAACAACCCTATTCAAAATCATACAGCACCAGCTAAAACAGTAACATACCCACTGACTTTCTCCAAAACCAAACATGAAATTTACAAACAACACAAAGAAGAAGACCTTACGTGGTTCTAGGTATCATAGTTCAAGTATTCCATAACATAAAATTATATGGATTCCTCATTTCTAGTTAGAACCAACAGACACTATGCAACGCAACAAACCAGCGGCTAAAACAGTGACACATCCACTAATTTTCTCAGAAACCAAACATGAAATTTACAAGATACGGCTTAGTTAACCTAAAAGCGACCGAAATTTCCTACCTCTCTGCGGTTATCGGAGAAAAGGCAGGAGAATTTGCCATTGCATTTGAGATTCTGCAGCAGAAAAGTCCAGTTGTGATTCCAATGCTGAAAGCGGGTTGTTTTGAAGCATCGTTGACGGACTGGTAAGTCAGGTCGGGTCAATGAACGAAGAGAATTTAGGGTGAGAACCTGCGTCATCCTCCCCCGCGCCTTGCGCCCTCTGTAAAATCGCAAGAACGGAACGCCACCGTCTGTACTAATAATCATAATATTTAATTAATAATCATAATAAATAATAATAGTAAGGAGCATGCTATATATTTTTAATAAATTTATATTTATTTTAGTTAATATATAATAATAACTTAAGTGCGAAAACAAAATAATTAGTTGAGATTTACATTCTTTACACAATAACTAAGAGTACCAAACAGTACTACAAAAATTACCATTTTGAAAGAAATACAAATAAATAAGGAAATAAACGGAAAATAAATAAAATTAGTATCTTATTCGCAACCTTCTTGTAGATCGGGCTCTGGATCCTGATCATCTTGATATGAAATGATAAAAAAATGAATGAACTACACTAGCCCAGTAAGAATATCACACTACTCATCGACACAATGAAGGTTGGTAGAAAAATAAAAAATAACTAATTGAGTATTTAATTAAACAAATTCATTTATCAATAATAAAATCATTTAACGTCCACTTACCGTAGTAAGATTTACAAAAACAACTTATAGAAACAATAACATAACACTTATCATGATTTCATATGCAATCGATAACATGCACTTATTATAATTTCATATTCAGTTAATCAAAACAACAACTGTCCATTTTCATCAGTCTGCTGGTATCCATGGGGGTCCATAAGAATATCCTCACTGCGCATGAACCCTTTCCTTTAACATTCTCAATTAAAGAGTCGCTCCTATACCCTGTCCAGTATGAGCGACAAATTACCAAATCTCGATATCTCGTCCGGTATGAGACAACGTTCACGGTAGGATTCTCTATGTACCTAGTCCGTCTATCATCTTTTAAAATATCCAGTAAAGCTGTCGTTTCATCAATTCACTTAATCACACAATTTTACGTTTATATTTAACCTCCAATTCCCCAATTCAACCGTAATCATACAAAACAAACAATGAATGGATTCAAAACTATAAAATCGATCAATCAAATACTATCATGCATTTAAACTGTAAAATAAATCAATAGAATCAGTAATGAATAGTTTCCGGTTCTGACTCAATTAGTACCCGTAATTAATTATGCGTATTTTTTATTGTATAAATA